AAGGAATTTCTAATTATCTAATTTTTAAAAATATTGAAATTATATTTAAAATTTCAGTCAATTTAGCAGTATTTATTCAAAAATTATTTTTAAAAACGCTGGAAATGCAGTCTTAAGCATTCAGTATTGCAAATTTTTTTCGAAGAAAGATATTCCTTAACAATGTGATATTCGTTAACCCAAAAATATGAAATTTAAGGAAATTTTACTAAATCTGAGGAATTTTTTACCGAGAATCTAAGGAATTCCACGCAATCGGAAATGAGAGCACTGCTTGTGGGCACGCATGTCGAAGCTTCGTAGTCAAAATTTGTATTTATAATAGCTAAAATTTAAATTTATAATGAAGAGATCAATGAAATCCGGTCATCAAAAGCGAACCGAAAGCAAGAGAAAGGCGCTACAACAGTCAGCAAATGCTCCAGGGCAACGATCTTTGTTTGATATGTTCAGATCAACAACAACAAATAGCAGTACTACAACTAATACCGAAAGGGAATGCATCGGTACAGCTGAGGAAAGATCAAATGAAATCATTGATTTTTCAGGTGAGAAATCACAACATGTTGAACTTCCTGATCCTGTACCTGTTATGGTCGTTGTTGAAAGCGATATTGAAGCAAAGGATACTACGAACACTTGTGGAAATATTGCAACTGTATCAACGTCAAAGTCTGATTCTAAAAATTCCAACGACTGGTATAGGGGGATGAAGCTAGATGTCGATTGGTTGTTAGATGCTGCGAAGTGCCTAGTGTTGAAGAAATAAATAAAAGATAAAAGAAAGAGACCAACTGTTACATGCTTATTATGTAACAAGTACGAATTTCAGGTACGAAAGATGACCTCAAATTGTCAGTTACCAATAGCAAACGGTGTACGTGTTGATGGAAAGGACAGACTTAAGGTGGCTCCATACACTTTCATCATCGGGGGACTGGTACCTAATCTTGAGTTTCGCGCGAAAATATTACAAATATATGCAAAAATAAATACAACTTTTTCAGTCTAAAATCCGAACCACAAGTCATGGTTATTTTAATGTTTCGAGTCATTTTTGTTCTCAAAGAACAAACTTCGTCCTGATTTAACCATGAATATTGAATAGCTAGTCTTTTTAGAAGACATTTTAAGGTAAAAAATGCAATGTTTAACGTTCAAACTCTTGTGAAAACCGGCGATCGGCCCGACCGGCGAAACGTTTTTTTACTCCAATATTTGGCGATTTATAAGTTCATATCCAGAGTTTTTTGTACTTACAACTGGTAAAGTGTCACTAACAGCAAAGGAATTCAGTCAAACAGCATCATACGCCGGCTCAAACTGTTTTAAATTGTCAACAACAACATGAAAACACACAAATTACGACTGTAAACGAATATAAAACTATGTAGAGAAGCCAAAAAGTTCATACATGTCACACATATCTTATACCAAACGACACAATTACCTCTTTTCTTGGCGTTATCCCGAATTAGCATGCAAAACTAAAGATATTTGCATTTCTAAGCAAGAAAATACAACATATATTTGATATTTCGACGAGACTAAAAACTTTTTTGTGCGTGTTTTTCTGGATCGAGATGCGCCTGCGAAAACATGTACGCGCATGTCGATTCATTGATCTTGCAGAGCTCGAAAAACTTTCGGCCGAGCGAGTGAGATACCACAATAAAACGGCGTAATTCAAAATTTTGCACGGTGACATGTGATGAAATTTTGCACAACGATAACTTCTTTTAAAACAAATAGAATATCAAAATTTAAAAAAAATCTGTAGATTGGAAAACTTTAAATCCGCATTTTTTTATTCTGGCTATTCTAATCTACAGAATTTTTTTATTTTCAGGGATAAGATTCCTTATTATAAGTGAAAGCTATACAGCAGTTAAAAATTTGGGGTCACCGGCAATATTCGGAAAATAAAGAATAAAAACCTGCTTAAAATAGCAAAAAATACCATATTTGGCGAGGCTACTGTTACTATGGAAACAGTATTATGTTCAAGAATATTGCAAATTTTTTCTACCAAATACTTAATTTATACTTGGGAATGCTTAAAATTAATAGATGGAGTGATAAAATTTATAAATTGAAATTTTTACGCAATAAGGTATTTATACTACTGAACTGTATGGAGCCACCTTAAACATGTTGTTGATCACTTACTTTCTCCAGCACATGAGGAAGCCGAACGATTGAATGATTGCGACAAAACTTGGTGTGATAAGTCCGATAAGCATCCTTGGGTAAGAGTTTTTAAAAAGTGGAATGACGAGAAATTACAGGGCCTGGTTTGTATTGCAATCGATGCCTACAATGACTCGCAGGTTGAAACCTTAAGTGCTCGAAGCTGGCCCTCAAGATCCCTTGCAGTAGAGCACAGTAATCATGTGTTGCACCACTTTGAGTCACAGGGATGGGATGCTGACTTTGTACCTTTTGATCCACCAGCATCCTGTTATCACTATAGAGATCCAATGCTTTATGCTGAAATAAGAAACATCATTGCAAAACAAGAAATGAAAAAAGTTGCACAATTGTTAAAAGACTGCTTGTGTTACTCGGTGCAAATTGATGGAAGTGCTGACAAGCTGCAAGTTGATTCCAAGTTTATAACTGCTCGGTATGTGCCATGTGATGAAGTCAGTGTTAAAACAGTGTTTCTTGGTATTGCAAGTAGTGATTTAGGAGGAGCTGAGGGGCTGTTAGATTCTTTCACAACATGTATTGAAAACATTGGCATAAACACTGATAAATTGGTTGGTGTTACCACTGATGGAGAAAATGCAAATACTGAAAAAAATGCTGGTTTATGGAAGCTTCTGCAAGACTATATCGGAAGAGATATTCTGACAATATGGTGTGTCTGCCATCGATCTGATTTGGCACTTGAATCGGTTCAGGCTGAGGTTCCTGAGCTCACGATATGGATGTCCAATGTTCTTGCTGTTGCAACATTCTTTCGAACATCTCCTCGCAGGACAAAACTACTTCATAAGGTTTGCTTTATGTTATTTTTTTGTGCATTTAATTAATATACACTATTTTCCAAATCTTCGTTTTACTGCATGGTTGATTTTGTACGTTGATTATTGATACTGTTTTCTATCATAGTATTTAAATCTGCTCTTTGTTCCATTCAATTTTCTGAATAGGTTGTCCCTCACAGCATGGCAACTGAACGAGTTGTTTCTCATTATAACAATGTGAAGACATGGGGCAGGTCTTCGCTTAATCCTGAGACAATAAATGGTATATTGCATATTTCTCTGAATGGAAAGGGTGCATCCTTTTTTGACCCAAGACCAGTGGTATCAGAGTTCTTAACTTCGAAAGAAAGAAGAAACCGAGAGCCGTGTGAAGAACTGTACAAACAAAGGGAATTTGTGAAACATTTCTTCAAGCAAGAATCCGGATGTCTGTGATTCACAGAAGCATCCAGTATATCTTAAATATAACTAGTATGATACTTTTTAAATACAACATTGGTTGGTGAGCATACTTAAACTTGTTGTGTTTGAATCTTAATTTCAAATTATCACAAATTTCACTTTTAAAAATTTCCTTTGAGAACCTGAGATTTCTTTAAAAAGTGTTCTCAGAATGCAGGAAATGCTATTTCAGAGACCAAAATTTTAAAAAATTCCCGAGGGCATGTGCTGAAACCCACCTTCGGTGTTCGCATACTATCCAGGGAAAGGGAAAAAAAATGGCCTGGGCCCTTTGGTAGTTTTGCCCCACCACTGAAGAATCCTTAAAAGATGCCCTGGACATAATCGTGTATCGTCATCGATCCGTATCGTTGAACAATGAAAAAAATTGTTGTGAAATTAGTGAAGATAAAATAGCATTTTGTGAAAAAACTGCGGGTCTACGGAGTGGGAACTTTTCGGATTTGAACTCAGCGTGTTCGAAAGTGTTAGTTCCCGTAAAAATATTTCAGATCTAAGACATGCTTAATGAAAGTGAACGATATCGGGTCACAACACACGGACTATATCAATTCTTGAGAATGTTTTTGTAGACCATTGGCATTGTCGGCGCGCGGTGAAGTAATTGTATGAAATATACACACCCTTTTTAACAAGTCAAAATTATTCGCGCCAAAATTTTTAATGCGATTTAAATTCCTGCAAGCGACACAAGTCGACCACTCGCGACTTCGTCGCTCGGGTCGCGCGCTCCCTCCCCCGCGCCCTCCCTCCCCCATGGTCGACTTGTGGCAAGTCTAGTTTTAACTATACATGTTGACAGAATAATATCTGCTTCACATAACTTTAATATAAGACCTTTTCATATACTACGGCAACTGTAAATATAAAATCCTTTTAACGTTGTTCGTAAAGTGTATAAAATTTACACTGGAAATTTCCATCTACAAAATCCTTCAACATTATTCTTCAATCAACTGTGATGCCCAAAAATCATAATAATAATATGACGCGACCCTTTTATTTTGGAAAATTGTCCTAATACTGATATCACTGTGTCGTCGATACTCACGAGAAAAGATATAATCAAGGTAACAAATTTAAAATCGCTGAGGTAAATAATCAACTTCGATTGTTTTGCTTAGAGAATAATTTGAAATTTTTATTACACGCAAACATAGATAATAAATGTTTAAATCGTTCAGGCCTGCACTTAAACAAACTTGGTGACTCTATGTTTGCCAAGAATATTATTGGAGCAATAAAGTGCTTTTAGCCTTAAGTCTGACTGTCTTCCAAACTACAGTACACCGGAAAGTGATTTGACCCCTGTAAACACACCTGAATATTACTGTTGCGATACCAATAACTTGATTTTGAATGATGCCTCCTTAAGCAAAAACGAACTTGAGACTTTAAAAGGTTTTCGAATAGCACATTTAAATATCACCTCCCTCCCTAAATACATTGATCAATTAAAAACGTATCTCATTAATAAACCAGTAGATATATTTACGATCAATGAGACAAGATTAGATGAGTCTATCAGTGATGAAGAGGTTAATATCGAAGGATATAACCTCCATCGAAAAGATCGATGTAGATCGGGAGGTGGTGTGGCTATTTACACCAGGGATGTCTTGAACGCGAGAGAGATGCCGCCCTCCTAATTCCAAAGCCGACTTTATGGATGCTTTAGAAAACTATTTCCATTTACTAGACGAACAAGATAAAGAACTAATCATTACAGGAGACTTAAACTGTGACCTCTCTCTCTCAGTCTTGCAACCCCATTCTCGTAGACTTATGGACATCCTTGAGTTATTTCAAATGAAACAACTGATTGCAGATCCCACGCGCATAACAGGCATCACAGAATCGTTAATTGACATAATTGCAACTAACCGCCATGATAAAGCAAAAGAAAGCGGCGTGATTGAAATAGGTATTAGCGATCACAGTCTTGTGTATTCATGTCTGAAAATATCAGTACCTCGAGAAAAACCGAAGATCGTTGAAAGCAGAAATCTAAAAAATATAATGTTAACTGCTTCAATAGCTATCTTTCTCAGTTACTGAGGTACTCGGCTTGGAATCAAAAAGATCCAGACCTGTTATGGGATCAGTTCAAACACATATTCAATAGTGTATCAGATATTTAAGCTCCAGTTAAAACTCGAAAGGTAAGAAGTACTTATGCTCCATGGTTAACAACTGACATTAGATGTGAGATGAACACGCGGGATTATCTGAAAAAGAAAGCAGTTAAAAACAACTCTAAAAGCCTTCATCAGGCATATAAAGTAAAACGAAATGAAGTGAACAAATTAATTAAATCTGCAAAAGTCCAGTACTGTAAGGATAATATTCAACTAAATAAAGACAATCCTAAAGAGATGTGGAAAAATATTGACCAGGTCATCAACGGAAAAGGTCGGTGTTCTAAAACCACCACCATTACCACAATTAAAGATGATCTGGGTGATATTATCCAAGATGAAAAATTAATAGCTGACCAACTCAACAACTGGACCAAAATTGTCAAGTCAATTGCCTAACAATAGTAGGAACTTTTCTGAGTATCTGAACCCAGTAGATTGTGAATTTCAATTCACTGTGATAAATAATGACACTGTGTTTAAAAAAATAATGAAACTTAAATCAAATAAAGCCGCCGGTCTTGACAAAATTCCCCCAAAATAGTCGTTGTCACTCCTTATCTGAGCCTTATTTTTAATCTATCTCTTTCAGAGGGGAATTTTCAAGCGACTGAAAAAATGCTAGAGTTTCTCCAATTTTCAAATCTGGAAATCGAGAAGAATGTCGCAATTATAGACCTATCTCTATCTTGTCCGCTATTTCTAAAATTTTCGAAAAAATTGTATTTGATCAGCTAAACCAGTACCTTATTACAAACCAGATACTAACTCCAAATCAATCAGGGTTTATAAAAGGGTACTATACTTGCTCTTCTCTATTAAGAACAACCAATGAATGGTTGGTAAATATGGATAAGAGATTAATTAATGGCGTTGTCTTTTTAAACCTGAAAAAGGCTTTTGATACAGTTCATCACGATATAATGATTAAAAATTAGAATTTTATGGTATCTGAAAAACACTGCTCTCCGCTGGTTCACTTCATATCTTAGTCATAGAATACAAGTATGCAAAGTTGGGGTAACAATTTCAAAAAGTGAGAAAATCACAACAGGTGTGCCGCAGGGATCAAATCTTGGTCCCCTTCTGTTTTTGCTCTACATTAACGATTTTCCGAATTGTCTTGACTCTTCAGTCCCAGCACTTCTTGCTGATGATACTAATCTTACTGTAAATGGCTCTACCACATGTGAGATACAGGAAAAGTTGGACAATTATTTAAACAATATTCACATGTGGCTATTAGCCAATAAGTTAACCCTAAATGTTAATAAAACTGACTACATGTTAATTGGATCAAGACAAAGGCAGTCCCAAATTAATACTGAACCAATTCTATCAATAAGATCTGAAAGCATCGAACGTGTTTCGTCTACCAAAACGCTTGGCGTTATAGTAGATGAATGCATCACCTGGAAAGACCACATTGATAAGGTAGCAAAAAAAGCCTGGAAAGGGATTGGAATACTGAGACGACCTAAAGACTTACTTGATAAAGATACTCTTAAAACTATTTATAACGCTTTTGTTTTACCGCATTTTGGCTATTGTGCGTTGGTATGGGATAATTGTTCCAAAACCTACCACAAAACAAACTACAAAAGCTACAAAATAAAGCAGGTTGAATAATCACAGGTGATTGCTACGAAACACCCTCTGATGCCGTCAGAACCAAACTCGGTTGAGACACCTTACAGGAAAGGAGAGAGAAACAACTAGAAACTCTAATGATACAAGTAATGAAAGGAAATTCAATTGATTCTACCTCCGGGAGTGTTTTACTATCTCTTCTAACCAAACGTTTCAAATTAAGAAGTAACAACCACGTTCTCTACATGCCTAAACCCAACACCAACGCTTTAAAGCGTAGCTTTAGTTACAAAGGTGCTGCAGCTTGGAACGATATTGAACTTCGCAGAAAGATTTTAAATGTATAAATTTTATAAGATCACTTTTTTAACATTTTTAACATTATACTTTTAAATTGTGTACATATTTTCTATTTTAGTCCTATTTAAAATACACGACCATCTGAAAATCAACCTTTTTATTTTTTTTCAAAAATCTATTATAACTTTTAGATATTTTAGGGCTATGGTCTGAGATGTTATCGTGTGTAAATAATTGTAAATAAATAAATTAACAAGGCAAATTTTTTATACACCTAGTATACAGGGTGTATCAATAAAAACTAAACAGATTTGAAATTGCTTTCAATTTCGGAAAACAGCTATTAGTGTACAGTTTTTGATGTATATGATTTCTTTGGGTAATTATAATGTAGAATAATGAAAAAAATTTCTCGAACTCAAATTTTGTGAACCAGGGGGTGTGTCTTTTCCAACAAACTAAAAATGGCTTGCGCACGACATTTAAAAGCTTTAATCATATTTTGTGTTAATAGACGGAACATTTGTTGGGTTTTTAATTACTGTACAAAGCAAAGGTCCAGACCAAATACCTGCAACTCCTCCCATCTAGCTTCTCTTTCCAACAAAACTCCCCGCTATCCAAGATCTTTAATGGATGGGAGACCCTATGTTACCTTCCAAAACACTACAATGTCTCCAACAACAACCACAAACTCAAGAACCGAAATTGAGAAATTAAACATTAGAGTTACCATTAGAATTACAAATTCATCTACGAATCTGATACATGTTAATAAACAATGCGCGACTAATTTAATACGAGTAAAGTGATGTGATTAAATTATCGATATTAACTACAATCATCAGGCCAGCAAAACTAAACTCAAACTAGCTCGATCATTTGAATGCTAGGTCTCTAAACGTATTCTTGTCCTTGATCCCCAGAAACGCGTGTCTGGGGTCAGATTTGTTTTCAAGAAAAAGGTAGGCAGTTTAGCTGAAAGTAGCGTTTCAGTTATATTCATGTCACTGGTGCAGTGGCGTGCTGGCAGGGGGGGCCGGGGGGCCACGGCCCCCCCAGCTGGCAATTTTTGGGGGGCGCAAAAATGAAAAGGGGGCGCCGATCCTGCGCCAAATTTTGAAAGTGGGTGGGAAAAAACGCATTTGAAAAAATATAGTTACTTCCACCAAGAAAAAATGTGTTTATAGG